TATTCGCTATCATTTTATTCGAAATTTAGTGGAAGATGGGATTATTGTGTTGGATCATGTACCTACAGAAGATCAGCTTGCTGACATTTTTACAAAGGCACTTAATTCGAAACGCTTTTTGTCACTAAGAAAATCCTTAAGAATGTGTGCTATATAATATCTATGCATGAGCGTCATCTGTATACGTATGTATATATATATATATATATATATATATATATTAGTGTCGCATATTAGAAATTCTCTGCATTTAGTCATTGTAGTATATAGGTTCATCCCAAGAAGCTTCTTTGAATAATTTATCGTTAAACTCATTGATTTATGTTCTATGGATTCTAACTTGTCAGATTGTGAGAGCTCGTCATAATGATCTTTAAAATTACTTGTAAGAGCTACTCTCATGAAAGTAAGCATCGGGAAACTACCACATGAGGTGTTTCCATGATCACCTGTGAAACGAGTTATGTGCTTAGCAATAATCGAGGTGTGATAGCTATAGGCAGTCATTCTTGTAGAATGAAAGTTCATTGGTGTAATAAAGTTGGTCATCTTACACACCTTCTCATTATGTTCTAATAAAACTTTTTGCGGGATGATTCACACCTCAAGTAATGGGCTTGACATTGGCGTATAGTTGATGTTAGTAAGTGAATTGGTGTGAAAGTTCATAGAACGAAGTAAGTTCATCACGAGTATTGAGGCTGAATTGGAAATGAAATTTTCGTTCTTTGCTAAGAGAAAATGGTGAATAAACTTATTTTAATTCCGTGTTATATGAAAGTTGGAGTTATAACGACTGAGTTGGTTTTGGGTTTCTCTCCATTTTGTTAGTGTCGAGAAATTGATTAAGAAAGATTCTTGGATTAATCAGTTAATGTATCTGTCGATATTGCATGATTGGAAGTATTTTGGTTATTGTGTGATAAATAATATATTTAGGCATGTGCATAAAATTCCTTTGTGATTGATCGAGTCTCGAAATAGTGCTAAATTATTTTTGATACTAAAATCTGACCATTATTCTCTCTGAAACTTCATCTCGCGTATATTTGGTAGCTCATGTCGAGAATTTTTGGTATGTGAATATTTTATTTTAGAGGGAACAGTTTTATTTCGTGCATTAAGTGTTGGGAATGTTTTGAAATTCAAATTTTAAAGCTGAACCGTCTTATGGTAACTTGCCTTGATAACAAAAATTCCTTTTCCCCATATCTATCATATCACCTTCTCTAATCTCTCTCATATCTATCAAATCTCTGATTTTTTTCATCGCTCCAAAAATTATCTAACATACCTTACCTGTGTGAAGCTCTTCCAATTGAACAATGCCAAAATCCAAACAGGGAAATGTGAAGCCGAAGAAGGATGTTCCTAAACCTTCTCGGCGTTCAACTCGTAAAAGCTAAAGTACTGAAACTCCACCAAATCCCACTCCCTCCGATATGGCTACCGAAAAGGTACAACCTTCTCGACAGAATGAAACTAGGGTTTCTCCTAGCCCTAAAATATCCTCCACAATTGAAGTGGTTCAACTGATGTTGTCGGGGTCAGTGAAAAAGTTGGAAAAGAGTCTCTTTCCATTGCAAAATCTCCTAAAAAATGCAAGAAGGTCCTAGCGGCTGCTCCTGGAAAGAAGAAAAAGGTGAAAAGGGTTATCTTCTTACTTGAGCCTTCTACTTCTGGTGTTTCTGGTTCAAAGTCAAGTGGCGAGTCATCCCCTGACTCTGGTGATGATGGTGACTCTGCCAAAAAGGAAATTGCCAAGTAAATCGATGAACCGAAAAAATTTGAAAATAATGTTGCTGCTGAAAGGGAACCTTCCCCTGGTGTTAATAAAAAAGTCTTGACGACGGTGATGGTCCTGATAGCCCCCTTTCGGTTGGTAATGCTTTTTCTCGCCAGTTTTACTCTTCTCTGTCTGAATCTTGATTTGCCATTATATATACTCAAATAAAGTTTAGACCATAAAGAACAATTGTTGTCGAACACTTTCAAAGCTTGGTTTAATTGATCTCTTACGAAAGGTTGGTCTTGAGTATTCTATTGTGAATGTTGGGAAGTATTGCCCACAACTGGTTGTTGAATTTTACTCATATTTGTCTGTCTCCATTTCTAACTCCACATCAATGAAATTTCAACGTGTGTTTGTGAGAAACAGCATAGTTAAGTTCCCTCCGTCTGCTATCAACTCTGTGCTTGGGCTGGGTGAAGGTTCATCTCTATCTCTTCTGTCCGATGATCTAGATGAGGTTGCGAACACATTGACTGGAGGGAAGCTGAGCAAGTGGCTTGCTCCTGGGATTTTTGTGAAGAGTCTCACACCTCAAGCTAAAGCCCTGCAAAAAATTGGTGCATCGAATTGGACTCCGACGTCACCTAAGTTGTTTGTTACCCCTACACAAGCATGGGTTATTTTTTGTGTTCTTAGCGGCATTCCTTTCGATCTTGGGTCCGTCATCTTTGATGCTCTGGTCTCCTTTGCTGAAATCTCAAAACCCCACAAGTTGTTGCTCTTCCCTTCTACCATCTATGCCATTGGACTCAAGGTGGGAGTTAAAATGGACCCTCATGTCTGTGATGGTTTGTCTGCTTCTCTTAAGCCCCTTGCTCTTTCCGGTGTAAAGACTGCTCCTCCTCGGTCCTCATTGGTGAAAGCTTCTGAAGTCCCTTCACAGCTACGCGGGTTCTTGAACCAACAGGTTGCAGTTCTTTCTGGGCTTGAGAAGAGACTGGCTGATCAACGAAGGTACTATAAAGAAGTGCTGAGTGCATTGAAGTCACGGGCTCCTTTGGTATCTAAATCGAAAAAGGGGGAGAGAGCTAGTAAGGTGGAAAAAAAAGGTGTCTGGAACTAAGGGGGAGAAGTCCAATGTTGCTGCTGCTAAGGCCAAAGGAAAATAGAAAGTTGTTGTTGTTGCTGCCAAAGGAAAGGAAACGACTCTGGAGTTAAAAAAAGGTTCAGAAGCTGAAGAAGATGAAGATGAAGAGTAGGAGGAAGAAGAGGTTGCTTTAGAGGAAGAGACTGAATCTGGTTCTGAGGAAGGTTCTGATGAAGAGGAGTCTGAGGATGAAGGGTCTGCTTAGACCCTTCAGCTGGATATTTGAATATGTTGTGTTAAACTAAAATGATTTGATCTGGTTGTGGTTGTTTGAACTCTTTTTCTTTACTTCCTTTTGCTTGTTTGTGGTGAACTTTTTAATAATCTATGAACTATTTTGAATTATTCAGATATTTGAGTTGTTTATGTGAACAACACATTTGGGATGTGATAAGTGTATCTTGGGTTAAGTATATAAGTTGCAGGAAATGTTCTTTGTGTGCAGGTTCTAAGGATGTGTTTTAGATTTATCTGCCAAAGGGGGAGATTGTAAGTTCAGATTGGCAGTAAATCGAAGAACCTTCATAAGTTCCCAAGATTCAATCAAACACAAGTATGTTGATTTGATCGCTTGGACATATTTTTATTGGAGTTGTGTATTGATAATGTGTGTTTATTATGACAAGACTAATGGAAGGGAGTCAGAATTCACCTTCCATTTATGCAAGATGATCGTGGACGTGGATAAGGAAAAAGGAGACCTACCATATTTAAACATAACTTGGACGCAAAGCAAAGGGTGAGACACCATATGGAGATAGAAGGTAAAAGGAAGACAGAACGCATAGTGTGGGATACTTTTTGATTTTTGATTAATTGAGAGAATAATGTAGGTTGTGAGTGCCTATCACTGTTAGGCATTTTTGTTTTCATGTTTTGAAGTGAAGTGATCAAGACTGGGTTATTTTATTGAAAAAGAAAACACAGAGTGAACGGAGGTTCATTCTGATAGAGTTTGAGGGATTCAAACGAGAAAACCACAAGGGATTTGTGGTCGGATAAGTAGTAGTGCAGATCATTGTTCAAGTAGTGTAGAGAGAGTCTATATTGTAAACCCTTGAAGAATGTTTGAGATATTTGCTTTAATGAAAGAGATCCAAAGAGAGAGTGAGACGCTCTCCTAAAGGTTCAATTTTCAGTGATACAACTTCTGCAATTGCTTGAATCTTCTTAGAATACTGCTTGATTAAATTGTATGCAACTCTGGATATTTGGTGTATAAGCATCAAACTTCATATGTGATGGGACATGAGGTGATGTTTATGGGTCTTGCTTGGATTTTCATAGATCTGTTGGATTAGGAAATGGAGGTTCTGTATTTGGATCAAGATTGGTGTTTAATATGCTTTAATTTGTTGAAAGGAGAATTTTTTTTCTTGTTCATTTCATAATCTTGTAGCATTTTAGATCTCCATTTCTGATAACATGTTATATCTTTTTCGGTAGAATTTAAAAATAAAAAAAAAATCTTTAGCTGCTAGCTGCAACTTTTTAATTTCTGGGCATATAATTTAAGCGAAAAATCCTTGAATTTTGATAATTTATATTGCAATTCAAATCATTATGATGTAGTGAAATAGTGAAATCTGATCCTCTCAATTTTTCCAGCATTGCCTGGTTAAGGTGGTGATTGTTTATAGTTT